CTGCGCTCTGAGAGGTTACAATTTCTGTGGTAAACGTCACACTCTTTCAGTTTAGAATATTTTTATAACTCCATAGAATACATTCAGAATATCTAGAAGCGCCATCTAACATCTTGTGCAATCGTTTATCTTGACTTTTTGTTGAATAAAGGTTAATATTTGTTTAATGTAATGTCTTCAGTCTCTCTTTTTCAACTTTGACAGTGTTTGAAATGTTACTCCACATACTATTTCTGGAGCCTGCGTTTTGCGGATACTTGTAACGTGCGAATATCAATGTAACTGAATACTACAGTTATATGCACTGTACGTGATTAGTGTACACATGTTAAAGAGTTTGTTTCTTTTATCACAAAGTCATGCAAGTTGGCTAGCTCAGATCGGTCCACTGCTGGAAATCAAATTTTGGATTTTAGCATTGTAAATTCGTAAAGTTACCGTTGACACACCAGGGGACATTTTTGTTTGCTTTGTTTGTAGTTAAGCACAAAGCTGCATAATAGACTATCTATGCTCTTCTCATCACTGGTATCGAAACCCGGTTTCGAGCTTTGTAAATCCGCATACATACTGCTGTGCCACGTGGGGGGGGGGGGGCATTTTTGTTAAAGAGTTTCAAGGAATTCCCAGTTTGCTCTTGAAGAAGAAAGGTCCACATTTCGCTCGAGTTGTAGGGTTTTTATTATCTTGTATCAAGACTTCTTGAACCTACATGTTTTTCTGACATCATGAAGAAATTTATAAAGAATTACAGTTTGGTAAATCAATCTAGAATGTATTTTGCCGCAATTTTGGTCTCCGAGGTCTATTCTAATGTGAAATTACGTACAAACTATATTGTTACCAGTTGCTTATGCAGTAACACTTAAACTTGATTTCATTTTCGAAGTGAGCCTCAGTTTTCTTGTTATTAAATTAAATCTACAATTACGTAAACAATATTGTATTATCAATCTCTACATTAATTCTGATATGAGGTACATATAACACTTGTAAAAGTAACCTTTCCATCAACTTAATCTAATTCAAACCATGACAGCTACTGTTCATGCAATTTGATAATATTGTTGCGTCAGCGAGGTCACATGACTAGTATCACGCCACTTCTTTCTCGAACCTTCGTGAATTGTCGGGAGATTACTAGATTGGGGGTAGCCTGGTATATATATAAGATGGTCACAACGTGACGGGACAAGGTGTAGACAATGAGTAATTGAATGTATGCGGACAAAATATTGTTGGCCACGTGAGACATAGCGTTGTTATAGAGCGACTGTTGAAATTAAGTGTATCTAAAGTTATATTCAGAAAGAATAAACCAGTTTTATTTAAGAAAGGACTTGTGTCGCTAAAGTTTCGTCGGAACGAATTTACGGAAAATTAACTAACGAACGGAGACGTAACAATATAAACAGCGTCTCAACCAGTACCGTGTCTGTTGTATCCCAGCCGACCTGACGGGCTCTGATATTGGGAAAAAGGCCTCATCGGTACTGGTTATAGCAAATATAGCGTGATTTACATATTGTTATACACTCTTCTTTACTTTCGCACATATATATTCTTAAAGTTTATTTGAATGAAAATGATTTCCTACTAATGTTGCTTAGTGTTTTTTGTTTGTTTGTTCTTTCTTACCAAAGATCTAGTAACGAGTTACTGAAATTTTACCCTGCTTTATAGTTTCTCAGTTGACATTTTGAATAAAGCTGGCATACCCTGCCAGTTAAGGTATTTAAATCGCAATTTTCAGGTAGTGGGATCGAAACCCATCACCGATTTTGCTCACTCTTTCAGCAGAGAGAGCGTTATAATGTGACGACCAATCCCATTATTCGTTGGTAAAGAGTAACCCAAGAGTTGGCGGTGGATAGTGTTAACTAGCTGCTTTCTCTTTAGTCTATCATATCAAAATTAGGGAGGGCTAGTGTAGATGGCCGTCGAGTAGCTTTGCGCGAAATTCACCAAACAAACAAACAAAAAATCTATTAACACAGTAAGTACATGTCCTATTGCTCTAGTTTAACTAATGAGAGTGAGTTAATAATGCCCACGTGTTTAGTCTATTCGTAAATTGGGTATCAACTCAATGAATATAAGTGGTGAGTAACGTGCCATATTGAACATTTCAGGTTAAAGTGCGAAAGGATAGGTGGGGTGAAGGGCCACCCACCCACTGTGTTTCTTTCATCTCCATTTGTGCAATTACAAGAAAAGCTTATAAAATAGATTTTGGTTGTCTCGCGGCTATCGCCTACATGTGAAGTAAGTATATATATATATATATATATATATATAATTTGATTTATATCTTATGTATAACTAGTTGAACGTGCCGAAATTCGACAAAATTTCGAGAGTTGTAATATTTCACTCAATTCGTATTATTACCTAACCACTCAAAACCGAATATTTGACCACTAAGATATGCTCTTTCTAAACGTTCTTTTAAAACTAAAAACCATCTACCGTGCTTACCCTGCCTTCAAATGTTTTAATTAGTCATCCCTGTTTATGCGCTTGTTAACAGTAGAATTACGTCAAAACATCCCCTCCTTCAAAAGTGGTTTTTGCGCTTGTGAATACAGTTCTCAGAACTCAACAAAATTATTAAATTGGTAAACAAAATTTTAGAAATTACACAGTAAACCTATTCGAAACTCAAATAAAAACATGTTCAACAATGCTTATTGCACGTGCATTTTCTTTAAAATATACAAATGTAACATATTTTTGTAAGCATAAAACGATATAAACAATCCTCTGAACATTGGTTTTTAAAAAATCACTTTGATGCTACACAACTACAGTATTACATATGAAATTATGATTTAAAACTTTTTTGCAGCAGGAAAAGGTTTTTTGTTGAATTCAAGCAACACGTATAAACAGAAATTAGCATGTATCCATAACATTCGCTCTTAGTAGGCCTTACCCCTATAATAATTCGTGTTTTTTTTTCTGTTCGTCTTCTTTATATTCATACATGATGAACGAATAGACCCTTACCCCTATAATAATTCGTGTTTTTTTCTGTTTTTTTCTGTTCGTCTTCTTTATATTCATACATGATGAACGAATAGATATCCGTTTTCCCGAATTATGTTCTTCCTCTAATAGTACGTGTAGATATTGACAAAATATATAGAATTCATACTGGAAAAGTTGTTGTAACTTTCTTGTAAACAACATTTTAAATATTTGCACTATCAGGGACATATATTTGTAATCAATCGAATGACCTTACCCTGGATAGAGCTACGTAGAGCTGACGGTGAGAAAAAAAAAATGGTTCAGCCAAGTGCAACGCTGATGGACAGACATCCGCTTTTCCAAATAATATTATTGTAGTAATAGTAATATAGAATATAAGATTGTTTGTTAGTGTACGCATGCTCTATTCATGTATCCCTGGTGAAATATTATTGATCTTTTTTGCCATATTTCCTTGCATGTAACATTAGTTTTGTTCGTTTGTTCTTAAGCGCTAATCTATACCAGGGGTTATCTGTGTTGTATTCCCCACTATGGGTATCGAAACCCAGTTTTTATTGTCATAAGCCTTTAGACTTACTGCTGAGCCTCTGGGAGCATTAGTTATGAAAAATCGTCTGAAAAACTTGTAGTCATTAAGCATACAAAGAGATATATATAAATATATTATATTTTGATATTGAACTGGTGGTGTTTTCTTTTTTTCAGCCATCTGCTCTAAATATACTGACCTTTGAAACCAAAAATTTACAAATTATGAAGTTATTTTCATCTTGCTATGAAGGTTTGTAAGTTATTTTGATTTTAAAATTATAAATTTTCTTTTGTTGTCAGCTCCTTTCTGAAGACTTGATAACTAAACTGAATTTCGAAAGAGAAACATCTTTTAAATTGATTTCAATTAAGTTTTGTTCCTTTTTCTCACTCTAAGCATACGCGTGAGTAAAATAGAACAATAAAACACGAAAAAGACTTAGCAAAGAAGCGACTATGTTATTTAGGTTATTCAGACACAACAGTCTAAACTAGGGGTTTTCAACTTTTGCTTATAACTACCTTCTTTTCACGCGTATTCGCGAGCTTCCCACTATATTATACATATAACACCAGACAATAAATTGTTAAGAAAATAACAAACACAAATTATTAGCCAGCGGACTTATTTGAGTTTCTTTGTTTTGGAAAAATGTAAAATTATTGATATTTATATCTTCGCGACCCTCTGAAATCACTAAAGAAGGTCACGTCCAACAGTTTGAAAAAAGCAAGCCTACATCTATAAACAATATAACTGATAAGTTATAATGATTATTATTTACTTCATTTTCTTGACAAAGGTCTGTGTAGCTGAAATTACATTTACAAAAAGCAAACTATTCGAATATTGCTAGAGTCTTTTGAGTTGTTTTGATGTGTTAATTGGCGAGTATTAAAAGTTGGATAAAAACAGTATTTATTTAAAGTCTCAGATTTAACAATGATAATACCCTTTCATGTGGGGCATGTCACTGATCTCTATACAGAATAGTATATAAAGATCAGTAGGGCATACATATAGGTCATTGGGCATATATTTATTTTTCAATTTTTTGCCTATTTCAACATTAGGCGATGTTCTTTATAATGATAAATTAAATTAGGAAAAACGAAAAATTTAGACATATCATATTTCTTCCTCCACTTCCAAGTATTGCTAATGTTTCCGTGTACCTATTTACGACCATTTGCGAAATATAGTAGTGACATACTATGTGGTAATCGTATTACGGCGAGGTCGTTGTTGCTTAAATTAGCAGCAACTATTAACTGTAGCCTACTTTGTGTAGATTTCGTACATGCAACAAAGTGGGTGAACGTCGTGGCTAACTTTCGAGTTTGATTTATTTAAATGAAGGTGGAAATTCCCAGTGAAAAAAAAGTAAGTTGTAAACATTAATTACTACCGACGAGTACCGTTTGTGCACTTGATTTACACCATTGTGTACCAACTACTGTATATGAGGTGCTAGTAAATTGGCATTATATTTGTAATTGTAGCATACAGATTCCAAAATTTTTAGTGTTACATTCTTTAATCGAAGACATAACTCGGTAACTGTGTACGCTTAATTATACCCTTGGACCACGGTCCATTGACTGTCACTGTGCTATGTATTTTTGTACTTAAGACTTAAGTTGTAATGAAGTTAACATACACAGTTTCCTCTTGTAGTATAACCAAAGAATCTCTTTCCTCAACTTGACCTTTTAACTTAAGGATAAACACCATAACAGCTGGCACAACGAGCCTTCCTCGGCCTTAGGTGATACACGTCAGCTTGTACAAATTACCCTAAACTTAGATATAAAAGAGGATTTCCACCGCTGCTGTTATTATTATTACAAGGTTAAGTGAAGGTGGATAGTTTTGAGTCAGGTAAAGTTATTGAAATACAAATCGTATTTCCTTTCATATCTTAGGCTTATTTATAAAAGAGGATTTGCTTCTGTTATTATTATTATAATAGTATTACAGTTACATTTATTATTATTATAGTATTACATTTATTATTATTATAGTAGTATTACAATTACAGTTTACAGCGTCTTTTTGTGAAGTTTATCTTTAGATGGATAGTTTTAACGTTATGTTATTATTTTTATGTACTATAAAAAATTAATCAATATGGTTTATTTTCTTGTTTAAAAAATAGTGTGGTGATATGTGTTTTATGAGTATTTACAACGTGAGATATTTGGAAATCTTAAATAGTCTTATTAGTATACCCAAAGTTTATAGTTTATAGTTGTTTAAAAAAGTTAGGTTTTTTTTCTTGTCTCTGTGTAAATATTAACTTAAGTATAGTAATGTTTAACTTTTTTTTTTGACGTGATATTATGTTTAACAACTTGTATAATGTTATCTGTCTTAAATATTTTATGTTGTTATTAATTTACACTTGAATAAACATAAAAATATAAGTTTTGTAATGTATAAAACTGAATAAAAAGAAAAAAAAAATTGCATTGCTTAAAAATGAATTGGTAAAATGCATGATTCTTTAGCCTGGTTAACTTACAATTAATAAAATACATGAGGAAACTAATTTCAAAGTTAATTTTATTTGCATTTTTTTTTACTTCTGTGACACCAAAACAACTGGGAAAGGAATGTTAGTAATGTAAATTTAATCTAAAAGATGCAGTATTGTAGGTTGAACATATTCTGTCTCTTTGTATAGCATCTTAAACCCTAACCCTTAGGGTGAGTAAGCATCAGTTTACCAAAAACGTTGCTATGGATCCACTACCTTCTAAAGCCAAACCTGTTTCTACCCGTAAGTTTGGAATCCCAGCTTGGATGACACGAGAATTAAACAAACTAAATGTTTGTAAGGATCTTGACAAATATGGATCTTCACCTCCAACTAGTGATACTGACTTCTTCTGGGACATGGAAAAAATGGGAGAGAGTACGATAGTTACATCATCTATCGCAGGTGACTAAATATATACATTTTTGTCTTAATAGTATTTTAAGAAATCTGATTATGGGATTTCCTTCAATGTTGGGGGGAGGGGATATTACTAACAGTCAGTGTTTATAATTGCATCTACACTGTACATCTACATCTTGCTTTTTTTTTCACTATTTGTCATATATGGTATAGTGGGGAAAAAAATTACTTTTTGTAAAGAATGTACTTGAAGAAAACAGCAACCTGCACAAAGCATGTTATATACACTGAAGTACTAAAATGCAAAATAAAATATTGACCAAATAGTAAACCTTTCGTATTATTTGCTATTGTAATAGTGAACCCTAATTTTTCACTTAGTAGCTTTGTAGTACACTTCCACTAAGTGGAAGAATTAGAAAGTACTTTAAAAAAAATTATTATTGCATATTTTAAACTTCTGGGCTCAACACCAATCTGCAACAGTCTCTTCTACAATTTTAAAAATCAGAAAAAATGGGAAATGGAACTCTCTTGTTCCAATGGTGGATACAGAAAATGATCACTTATGTTACTATTCACTAAAAATCTGACTTGGTTAAGTGTCTTTTGCTAATTTGATTGAATAATTGTATGAAAGCCTTTTTTTTTTTCCTACCTTCTGGTTTATGTCATCCTACTTTAAAATTTTTAAACTACCCCTACCGTTAAAGGTAAGGACTTAACCTTTAGGTAGTTTAGTTTCGTAAATTAGTTTGTTTTAAATTAATTAAACCA